CTCAGTACTTTTGTTAGCCCATATTTGTTTTAGGCCCAGTACTCTGACTGTCTACTGTTAGCTCCCGGGGGCTTACGTTGTGTCCCCCCTTATCTCAGACTTTTCTGTTGCTCCCTGTTGCCCACTGTTTGTGTCCCCATTTTCTCAGTACTGTTACGGTTAGCTCCATGTTTCTCTACTGTTTGTGTCCCCGTTTTTCAGACTGTTACTTTAGTTCATGTGTTACTTCAGTGCCCCCGTTATCCTGAGCTACGTTAGCCCATGTTTCTTACTGTTAGGGGCCCCCCTTATACAGACTGTCACTGTTAGCTCCATGTTGCTCTACTTTTGTGTCCCCAGTTTCTCTGTTATGTTTTGTTGCTCCATGTTTCTCTACTTTAGTGTCCCCAGTTATCTCGTATGTCTACTGTTAGCTCCTGTGTTATGTTAGCTCCATTTTGTTACGTTAGCTCCATACTGCTTATGTTAGGTCCCCCCCGTTATCCCAAAAGTCTACGTTAGCATACGCTTTGTTAGTCCATCTGTTATTTACCCATACTGTTGTGTTAGGTCCCCCGTATCTCAGTACTGTTATGTTAGTCCGTTTCTCACTGTTGTGTCCCCATTTATCCAGTTTGTCTTTTTAAATTTCCCCTGGTTTATCTATGTAGTGTCCCCCGTTATCTATACTGTCTATGTTAAACTCCAGTTGCTTATGTTTGGTCCCCAATTTTCTGTACTGTCTTGTTAGCTCCGTGCTCAGGTTTGGTCCCCTATTCAGTACGTCTACTGTTAGGGCCCCAGTTTTTCAGTATGTTACGTTTTGTCCCTGTTTTCTATGTTATGTCCCCAGTTTTCTCAGTATGTTTTCTGTTGTCCATGTTGTCACTGTTAGGTCCCCAGTTTTCCTTTTAGTCTAGGGTTTGATCCAGTTGCATACTGTTGGTCCCCCCGTTTTCTTAGTACTGTCTATGTTAGTCCATAGCTACTGTGTGGCCCAGTTTTTCAGTACGTTATGTTAGCTCCATGTGTCTTAGTTTGTCCCCAGTTTTTTCGTACTTCTATGTTAGCTCCCTGTTGATCTATGTTTGTGCCCCCAGTTTTCTTAGTTACTGTTAGCTCCATGTTTATCTACTGTTTGTGCCCCAGTTATCTCAGAGGGCTACTGTTAGTTGTTGATTTGTTGTGTCCCCCCCTTTTAATCAGTATGTTACTTTAGCTCCATGTTTCTTTAATGTTGTGCCCCCGTTATCCAGTACTGTTATGTTATCCCGTTGCTTACTGTTTTGTCCCCAGATTCAGACTGTCTATTTAGCTCAGTTGATTATGTTTGGTCCCCCTTTATCCGTACTGCTACGTAGCTCCAGTTGACCTGTTTGTGCCCCCCGTTATCTCTGACTTCATGTTAGTCCTGTTGATCTATGTTTGGCCCGTTTTCAGACTGTCTCTGTTAGCCCAGTTTATCACGTTGTGCCCCAGTTTTATCAGTACTTTTTAGTTGCCCATGTGCTTATGTATGTCCCCAGTTATCTCGGATGTCTACGTTACTCCCTGTGATTATGTTGTGTCCCCCCTTTTCTCTGTATGCTTATGTTTTGCTCCTGTTGCCACTGTTGTGTCCCCCGTTTTTCTCAGTAGTATGTTTGCCCATGTTGATTACTTTAGTGTCCCCAGTTTCTCGTACTTTTATGTTTGCTCCTAAAGTTACGTTGCTCCCTGTTTTATTATGTCAGTGTCCCGTTATCCTTTTAATGTTACGTTAGCTCCGTTATTAGTTAGTGTCCCCCGTTATTCATACGCTACTGTAGCCATGTTTATCATGTTTGGTCCCCCCCTTTATCTAGTACGTTACTGTTTGCTCCATAAATTTTTTGTTAGTGTCCCCCGTTATCTAGTAGTTAGTTGCTCCAGTGCTCTACGAGTGCCCAAGTTATTCAGTTACTGTCTTGTTAGCTCCGTTTCTTACTGTTTGTGTCCCAGTTTCTTTAGTAGTCTAGTTAGCCCATGTTGATCTTGCAGGTCCCCAGTTATCTCTGTACTGTTACTGTTGCTCCAGTTTTTACGTTTGTGTCCCCGTTTAAACAGTACTGTCTCTGTTAGCCCCATGTTTCTCTACGTTAGTGTCCCATTATTCCAGTATGTTAGTTAGGGTCTTTTGTTTGTTCCCAGTTATTCGCGTTCGTAGCTCCATGTGCTTCGTTTGGCCCCCGTTTTCTCGTATTTTCCCGTTTGCTCCCCTGTTATCTACGTAGTGGCCCCAGTTATCTCTGTATGTTAGTTTTGCTCCATGTTGCCCATGTTAGTGTCCCCGATTCAGTATGTCTACTTTAGCTCCATTGGCTTTTATGTTGGTCCCCAGTTATCTCAGTACTGTCTAATGTTAGTCCATGTTGATTTACGTTAGGTCCCCAGTATCCTTTTACTGTTCTGTTAGTCCATGTGCTCTATGTTAGAGCCCCAGTTTTCTCAGTATTTTTCCGTTTGCTCCAGTTGATCTACGTTGTGTCCCCCCTTATCTTACTGTACTGTTAGTCCAAGTCTGTTGTAGTGTCCCCGTTTTTCTTGTCGTTAGTTTGCCCAGTTGTCTACTGTTGGTCCCCCGTTTTCTCAGTACTGTTACTGTTGCTCCCTGTTGCCCACTGTTAGGGGCCCCCGTTACTCATTTCTGTTCTACGTTAGCCCTGTTTTCTCTACGTTGTGTTCCCGTTATCCCAGTAGTTAGTTAGCCCAGTTGAACTTCAGTGTCCCCAGTTATTCTTCTGTCTCGGGGCTCCCTGTTTTCTCTACGTTAGGTCCCAGTTTTATAGTATGTCTACGTTAGCTCCTGTTTCTTACTGTTGTGTCCCCAGTTTTTTGTATGTTTTTGTTTGCTCCAGTTGATTAGGGGAGGTCCCAGTTATTCTTAGTCTATGTTAGCCCATGTTGCCATGTTAGTGTCCCCAGTTTTTCAACGCTATGTTGCTCCATTTTATCACTTTTTGGGCCCCCGTTATTCAGTTTCTGCACGGTTTTGTCAGTTGCCTATGTCAGTGTCCCCCCTTTCTTGTATGTTACTGTTAGCTCCATGTTGATCTATGTCAGTGTCCCCCGTATTCGTACTGTCTACTGTTAGTCCGTTTCTTACTGTTAGTGTCCCCAGTTACTCTGTAGTTACTGTTAGTCCATGTTGCTTACGTTGTGTCCCCCGGTTATTCAGTATGTCTACGTTAGCCCATGTTTCTTTCTGTTGTTCCCCAGATTCAGTATGCTATGTTGCTCCATGTTGCTCTATGTTTTAGTTCACATTCTCAGTTGTTTGTAGCTCCAGTTATTACTGTCAGGTCCCAGTTTTCTCTGTATGTCTACTGTTTTGCCCCGGTGCTCTGTTAGTGTCCCCCCTTATATCAGTATGTTTCGTTAGTCCATGTTCCTTAGTTAGTGTCCCCCCGTTATCTCAGTAGTTACTGTTAGCTCCATGTTTTATTACTTTAGTGTCCCCAGATCTTTTGCTACGTTAGTCCAAAGTTCTTACGTTAGTGTCCCAGTTTTTCTAGAAGCTATGTTAGCTCAAAGTTGTCCCCATGTAGTGTCCCCGTTTCGTATGTTAGTTTTGCTCCTGTGCTCTGTTAGGTTCCCCCTTTTTCTCAGTAGGTTACGGGAGCTATGTTTATTAGTCAGTGCCCAGTTATTCTGATGTCTGTGTTATCCATGTTGTCTATGTTAGTGTCCCCAGGGAAACATACTGTTATGTTAGCCATGTTGTCACTGTTAGTGTCCCCAGTTTCTCAGTATTTTATGTTTTTCCAGTTGATTATGTTGTGTCCCCAGTTATTTGTATGTTAGTTAGCTCCGTTGCTATGTTAGTGTCCCCCCGTTATCTCAGTTTTCTGCTATGGTTTTGCTCCGTTTATCTAGTTTGGTCCCCGTTATCCAGAAGTCTACTGTTAGCCCCCTGTTGCTCTACTGTCAGGTCCCCAGTTTCTCGTACTGTTTACTGTTAGCCCATGTTGATTACTGTCAGGTCCCCCGTTATCTCATAGTTACGGGTTTGCTCCGTTGCTCTATTTAGGCCCAGTTCTCTGTCTGTTTAGTTAGCTCCATTTTCTCATTTAGGTCCCCAGTTATCTCAGTACTGTTACGTTAGCTCCATTTGGGCCTACTGTTAGGTCCCAGTTACTCAGTATGTTATGTTAGCTCCATTTGCTCTATGTTGTGTTTCACAGTTTTCCGTATGTCAGTTGCTCCGTTGATTTTGTCAGGTCCCCAAATTATCTCTGATGTCTCTGAGCCCCTGTTTTCTTGTTGGTCCCCCGTTATATCAGTATGTTATGTTAGATCCATGTTTCTTACTGTTAGTGTCCCCCTTTTCTCAGTATGTTACTGTTTTTGTCCATGTGATCTACTGTTAGTGTCCCCGTTATCTCAGTACTGTTATGTTACTCATGCTGAATTATGTTGTGTCCCCAGTTATATCAGATACTGTCTACTGTTATTCCATGTGATCTACTGTTATGTCCCAGTTATTCAGTACTGTCTACTGTTTCTCATGCTGATCTACTGTTAGGTTCCCCAGTTATCTCAGTACTGTCTACTGTTAACTCCATGTTGCTCTACTGTTAGTGTCCCCAGTTATCTCTGTACTGTCTACTGTTAGCTCCATGTTGATCTACTGTTAGTGTCCCCAGTTATCTCAGTACTGTCTACTGTTAGCTCCATGTTGATCTACTGTTAGTGTCCCCAGTTATCTCAGTACTGTCTACTGTTAGCTCCATGTTGATCTACTGTTAGTGTCCCCAGTTATCTCTGTACTGTCTACTGTTATCTCCATGCTGATCTACTGTTAGTGTCCCCAGTTATCTCAGTACTGTCTACTGTTATCTCCATGTTGCTCTACTGTTAGTGTCTCTAGTTATCTCTGTACTGCCTACTGTTATCTCCATGCTGATCTACTGTTAGTGTCCCCAGTTATCTCAGTACTGTCTACTGTTAGCTCCATACTGTCTACTGTCAGTGTCTCCAGGGCATGAAGAGAAAGAGAAGAGATGCCCCCCCCCCCCCCCCATGTGCTATGTGATTCTGGCCAAAATGTGTGCAAGGATTTTATAGGGATTTTATATTGAGAATATACATTATAAGTCAAAAGTTTGGACTCACCTACTCATTCAAGGGTTGTTCTTTATTTTTTATTATTTTCTACATTGTTGAATAATAGTGAAGACATCAAAACTATGAAATTACACGTATGGAATCATGTAGTAACCAAAAAAGTGTTAAACAAATCATAATATATTTTATATTTGAGATTCTTCAAATAGCCACCCTTTACCTTGATGTCAGCTTTGCACACTCATGAAAATCTCTCAACCAGCTTCATGAGGAATGCTTTTCCAACAGTCTTGAAGGAGTTCCCACATATGCTGAGCACTTGTTAGCTGCTTCACTCTGCCGGTCCAACTCATCCCAAACCATCTCAATTGGGTTGAGGTCGGGTGATTGTGGAGGCCAGGTCATCTGATGCAGCACTCCATCACTCTCCTTGGTCAAATAGCCCTTACACAGCCTGGAGGTGTGTTTTGGGTCATTGTCCTGTTGAAAAACAAATGATAGTCCCACTAAGCCCAAACCAGATGGGATGGCATATCGCTGCAGAATGCTGTGGTAGCCATGCAGGTTATGTGTGCCTTGAATTCTAAATAAATCACTGACAGTGTCACCAGCATAGCACCCCCACACCATCACACCTCCTCCTCCGTGCTTAACGGTGTTTGCTAATGGACAAAAAAATTGCTTTTTTCTTTCGAAAACAAGGACATTTTTAAGTGACCCCAAACTTTTGAACGGTAGTGTATCTATCAGCTTATACATCTGGTTGTGTCCCATCCACAGGCCCGGGCCAGTGCCAAGAAGTTCCGTAAGGTGAACCTGACCATCTCTCCTAAAGGAATCATCATCACAGACACAGAGACACAGGAAGTCATAGAGAACGTCTCCATATACAGGTAAACAATATGACATCATAATGACCTCATAGAGAACGTCTCCATATACAGGTAAACAATATGACATCATAATGACCTCATAGAGAACTTCTCCATATACAGGTAAACAATATGACATCATAATGACCTCATAGAGAACGTCACCATATACAGGTAAACAATATGACATCATAATGACCTCATAGAGAACGTCTCCATACACAGGTAAACCATATGACATCATAACGACCTCATAGAGAACGTCACCATATAGTTTAGTTTTATTTTGTATACACGGCAGCTAAAAGCTGAATTGCATATGCAAAAGAACATCACAAACTACAACAAATACAAACTACAACAACAAATACAAACTACAACAACCAATAAAAACTATATAATTGTAACATGGTATGGAAGTCAGGGACTGGAAGGATGATGAATTGAAGCAGTTCTGATGACATTGAGAGCGGAGGAACATCAGGCATGGATGGTCACGGTGGAGAGAGCCAGAGTCAGTCGGGCCCATAGGCTTTTTAGCTTGATGGTTAGCTAGCTAGCTACTCATCTCCACAAATTATTGTCTGATGTGTGGATGTGGCCATGGTGATGGGGAGGGGGGTCTGATGTGTGGTCATGGTGATGTGTGTATGATAGATACATGTGTATTTGGTGACGTGTATGGCAGCTATACCCCCTCAGGTCCAGTGTAGTGTTATTCAGACTGGATCTCCTGACGGTGAGGATTAGGCTGTGAACATCATATGGCCTCCTGGACTAGAATCACTGGGAGTGGGGTTGAAGCACAGGGGGGCTAGAGAGGGGGTTGTTGGGGGCTTGGGAGGAGGACAAGGGGGGTGAATGTGGCAGCGTATCTTGTGTGATCCAAGTGTGTATGTTAAGAAGGTTACACACCCATGCTGATCCATCTTATCAGTTACAGCAGACATCATCCTTCCCTTTCATCCCCCTCTCCTCTCCTCCTCTAATCATCCCACCCCTCCTCGACAACACCCCCGCCCCCCAAAACACCCCCCCCTCCGAAAGCATCCCCCTCTCCGCAGCTCACACGCCCGCACCGCCCCCAATCCCCCCCATCCCACATCCCCAGCTCCCCCGAACCCGCATCCGCCCGCCGCCCCTAAGAGACCCCCCCCCCCCTAATCAGCCCCTCCCCCAGTCCCGCTAAACCCCCGCGCCCTAGCCCGCGATCACCGCGCCCTCCCTCCCCGACCACTCAACCCCCCCCCACCCCCTCAAGCCCCCACCCCTTCCTCCTCCGCAAACATCCCCCCGCCCTCCGCAGCCCCTCAAATAATCCCCTCCCTCTCCCCTACATCCCCCTCCCTCCTCCCCATCAATCATCCCCTCTCCCTCTCAATCCCTCTCCCCCCTCTAAAACCCCCCCTCCTCTCCCCTCAATACCCCCTCATCCTCTCCTCCTCTAATCCCCCCCTCCCTCCTCGAATCATCACCCCTCCTTCCTCTCAATCATCCCCCTCCTTCCTCCTCAATCATCCCCCTATCCTCTGTCTCTCCTCTATAATCAACCCCTCTCCTCCTCCATCCCCTTCTATACCTCCTGCACCATCTAGCTCCCCTGCCCTACTATGATTCTCCTGGCCCATGCTAAGAGGCAGGTTGGTTTGTCAGTATTGGGTCCAGCCCCTAAAGGACGTTTTGTTGATGCAAGGGTTTTATGCAGTGGATATCGCCTGAGGGGGGTCTTCTGGTCTTCTGCTAGTCTATGGTATGCATTGAGTGTGATCATTTTTCGAGGGGGTATTTTGTGTAGGTGTGTAAGTGTGTGTTTGTGTATGATTGTGTGTACAAGGTGTCTCTGATTCTCTTAAGAGTGTGTTGAAAATGTGGGTTATCTAAGGTTGGAATCCAAGGTGAGAATCACCTAAGCCAGGATTAAGGAGGAAAAAAAGGGCTAGGAAAAAAAGCAAAAACTGATCTAAAAAGGGTAGAAGAAAAAAAAGGGGGGGGGGGGCCCCCCCCCCCAAAAAAAAAAACCCCCCCCCCAAAAAAACCCCCCCCCCCGGGGCCCCAAAAAAACCCCCCCCCCCCAAAAAAAAAACCCCCCCCCCCAAAAAAAAACCCCCCCCCCCCAAAAAACCCCCCCCCAAAAAAAAAAACCCCCCCCCCCCCCCCCCCCCAAATAAAAACCCCCCCCCCCCCCCCCTTTAACACCCCCCCTCCCCCTTCCCTTCCCCCCCCCCCCGGGTTTTCCCCCCCCCCCCCCCAAAAATCCCCCCCCCCCCTTAAAAAACCCCCCCCCCTTCCTTTTTTTTTCCCCCCCCTTTTAAACCCCCGAAAAAAACCCCCCCTTTTTAAGGGGGGTTTTTTAAAAAACCCCCCCCCCCCCCTTTTTTTTTTTTAAAACCCCCCGGGGGGGTTTTTTTTTTGGGGGGTTTTTAAGTAAATTTAATTTTTTGGTTTTTTTGGGGAACTATTTTTTTTTGGGGGGTTTTTTTAATTTTGGGGGGGGTTTTTGTTGGGGTTTTATTTTTTTGTTTTTTGGGGGGTTAAAATTTCCCTTTTTTTTGGGGGGGAAAAAAAGGGGGGGGGGCCCCGGGGGAAAAAAGGGAAAAAAAAAGGGGGAAAAAAAAAAGGGGGGGAAAAAAAGGGGGAAAGGGAAAAGGGGGGGGAAGGGAGGGGGGGGGGGAGGGGGGGGGAAAAGGGGGGAAAGGGGGGGGGGGGGGGGGGAGGGGGGGAAAAGGGGGGGAAAAGGGGGGGGGAAAAGGGGAGGAGAGGAGGGGTGGGGGGGGAAAAAAAAAGGGGGAGGGAGGGGGGGGAAGGGGGGGGGGGGGGGGTTTTTTTGGGGGGGGGGGGAAAAAAAAGGGGGGGGGAAAAAAGGGGGGGGAAAAAAAGGGGGGGGCCCGGGGGGGGGGGGGGGGGGGGGGGGGGGAAAAAAAAAGGGGGGGGGGGGAAAAGGGGGGGAAAAAAGGGGGGGGGGGGGGGGGGGGGGGGGGGGGGGGGGGGGGGGGGAAAAAAAAAAAAAAAAATTTTTTTTGGGGGGTTTTTTTTTTGGGGGGGGGGGGGGGGGGGGGGGGGGGGGGGGGGGGGGGGGGGGGGGGGGGGGGAAAAAAAAGGGGGGGGGAAAAGGGGGGTTTTTATTTTTTTTGGGGGGTTTTTTGGATTTTGGGGGAAAAATTTCCCCCCCTTTTTTTTTCCCCCCCCCCCCCCCCCCCAAATTTTTTGAACCCCCCAAAAAAAAAAAATTTTTTTTGGTTTGGGGGGGGGGGGGTTTTTTTTTTGTTTTTGTGTGGGGGGGGGGGGGGGTTTTTTGTGTTTTTTTTTTTTTTTGGGGGGTGTGTGTGGGGGGGGGAATTTTTTTTTTAAAAAAATTTTTTTTTTAAAAAAAAAAAAAATTTTTTTTTTTCCTTTTACAAACAAACTCGTCTCCAGCTGACCTGGATTCCATTCTATTCTATTATTATATTCAGATGTAATGTAGATTCATGTGGATTGAGTATAATCTTACATAGTTTCTGTCTCTCAATGTTTGGCATGGACTTAAAATACCCTGTTGCTGTAAAACATTATTCAGACAGGAGATTCTTGGAAGTAGATGACTACAGGAAAAGGAGGACCGAGCACGCCCCCATTCTCATCGACGGGGCTGTAACGGAGCAGGTTGAGAGCTTCAAGTTCCTTGGTGTCCACGTCACCAACAAACTATCACGGTCCAAACACACCAAGACAGTCATGAAGAGGGCACAACAAAACCTATTCCCCCTCAGGAGACTGAAAAGATTCGGCATGGGTCCTCAGATCCTCACAAGGTTCTACAGCTGCACCATCGAGAGCATCCTGACTGGTTGCATCACCGCCTGGTATGGCAACTGCTTGGCCTCCGACCGCAAGGCACTACAGAGGGTAGTGCGTACGGCCCAGTACATCACTGGGGCCGAGCTTCCTGCCATCCAGGACCTCTATACCACCCTAGTCATAGACTGTTCTCTCTGCTACCGCACTGCAAGCGGTACCGGAGCACCAAAGTCTACGTCCATAAGACTCCTGAACAGCTAATCAAATGGCTACCTGGAGCTGCATAGAGAGATATTATATTATATAGTTGGGTGTCTTGGGCATTGCTATTTGGGTCACGCTGCTCATCAGAGACACAGCCAGAAACACTGCAGGAGATCTGAGAGAGGGTTATCACACGCTTGTTGTTTGACAGAGGAGTTAATGACGGAGAGACGCACACATAGCAAACACACACACTCACACAATGAGCCCCCCAAGTATCATAGAGAAACATGGACCCATACTATTATAAAATCAGATTTCTAGCTCTCTCTCTCTATCTCGCTCTCTCGCTCGCTGTCGATCTCTCTGCTGTATCTTCTATATCTCTATCTTACTCTATATCTCTCATGTCTTCTCTCTGCGTCTCTCTCTCTATTCTCGCTCTCTCTCTCTATCTCTCTCTCTCTCTCCTCTCTCTCTCTCTCTTTCTCTTTCTCTCTCTCTCTCTCTCTCTCTCTATCTCTCTAGATTTCTTCTCTCTCTACTAGCGCCTCCTCTCTCTCTCTCTCTTAATAGATACCCAAACACATGTAATTGTAGTCCTCGTAGCTCAATGGTTAGAGCATGGCGCTGTAACGCCAGGGTAGTGGGTTCGATCCACGGGACCACCCATACGCAAAAATGTATGCACACATGACTGTAAGTCGCTTTGGATAAAAGCGTCTGCTAAATGGCATATTATTATTATTATTAATTGTAAACAGGTCATTCTATGTGTGATATAAAAGCAGTGGTGAATCCTTTACTAATGAAAGCTTTGTGTTGTGATGATGTTTAAGCAACAACAAAGTTATACAGTATGCACCACAACCATAAACACATTACCTTATTTTCCTTATTTAACAGTCATATGAGTATCAAATGATATCTGATGATGTCCAAATTAGTCCAGTAGTTTTTTCTGTTGATATGTTGTATGGCTAACAGTTCAACTAATACCCATTACAAAACACACATCTTCTGAACAGTCTGGAGTGTGAAGTTCTGGCGAGACACGTTCACACGGACATCGCAAACCCTGTCAGTTGTGTGTGTGTATCAGTGTGTGTGTATGTGTGTGTTCGGTGTGTGGCGTGTGTGTGTGTGTGTGTGTGTGTGTGGCGTGTGTGTGTGTGTGTGGCGTGTGTGTGTGTGTATCAGTGTGTGTGTTTGGTGTGTGCATGTGGCATGTCAGTGGAAAGGGTGTTGAAGAATAATTCCTCCACAGTGGACACTAATTGGGCTTCCAATGACATTGATGTGTAGAATACAGAGTAGAACAGAACAGAGCAAGAGCTAGCTAGCTAGAGCAGAACAGAGCAGAACAGAACAGAAGAGAGCAGAACAGAACAGAGCAGAACAGAGCAGAGTAGAACAGAACAGAGTAGAACTGGCCCCGTGTAGCTCAGTTGGTAGAGCATGGCATTTCCCACGGGGGGCCAGTATGAAAATGTATGCACTCACTAACTGTAAGTCGCTCTGGATAAGAGCGTCTGCTAAATGACTAAAATGTTAACAGAGCAGAGCAAGGGTTAGCTAGCCAGAGTAGAACAGAGCAGAGCTAGCTAGCCAGAGCAGAGTAAAACAGAGTGAGCTAGCTAGCTAGAGCAGAGTTGAACCACAGATGGAACAATAAGACAGATATTTCACCGGATGTATAAATGTGAAGCATCTGGTAGCGTTTACACACACTACCAAATATGGTCAGGGTTTACAGGACTAGCTCAAATGTCCATGCCCATTACCCGCCTGAAAACTAGCCCCATTTTATTTCTCACAGCAAGAGAGGAGTTGCCACATTTATACAATAAATTAAATTAAATTTCCGTAACGTTATCGAGCCAACAAACACTAGACCACTGCTACTCACCTTTTCGAGATGCCTACAAGGCCCTCCCTCGCCCTCACTTCGGCAAATCAGATCACGACTCCATTTTGCTCCTCCCTTCCTATAGGCAGAAACTCAAACAGGAAGTATCCGTGCTAAGGTCTATTCAACGCTGGTCTGACCAATCGGAATCCATGCTTCAAGATTGTTTTGATCACGCGGACTGGGATATGTTCCGGGTTGCCTCTGAGAATAACATTGACGTTTACATGGACACGGTGACTGAGTTCATCAGGAAGTGTATAGGGGATGTTGTTCCCACGGTGACTATTAAAACCTACCCAAACCAGAAACCGTGGATAGATGGCAGCATTCGCGCAAAACTGAAAGCGCGAACCACCGCATTTAACCATGGCAAGGTGACTGGGAATATGGCAGAATACAAAACAGTGTAGTTATTCCCTCCGTAAAAGGCAATCAAACAGGCAAAACGTCAGTACAGAGACAAGTGGAGTCGCCGTTCAACGGCTCAGACATGAGACGATACAGCCGTTAGCCGTGGTATATTGGCCATACACCACAAACCCCCAGGGTGCCTTATTGCTATTATAAACTGGTTACCAACATAATAGTAAATGTTCTGTTAAAGGCAGAGGTTACAGTGTAAAATCTGGGTTTATGATTGTAATTCAACTTTGCCATGGTTTGATTAGCTAGACTATTGCCTCTGATAGGCCTACGTCTTCAGATAGCCTACAGTAGCCTAGACAATATGTAGGCAAGATGTAAACTGATTTAGCAGCTTGCCTAGTTCAAATTAACAGACTCATTTATTCAACTTGAATAGCGAGGCGATTTCGAGGTAAGACGTTCTTGTGTTTCCCAATAGCCTGCTGGAACAGGCTACTGAGGATGGTAAATTAAATATGAATAATATGTATATGAACTGAATATGCGTGTCAACAACAGCCAGTGTTTATTTTATTTATGTTTTGTTTACCTGTAGCCTAATCTGACTACTGTTACCGTTGATAACTTCCAATGTAATTAACAAAACATGGCCATTCTCCACATTTAATGGCAGTTCCATTGATTACTTTTCCCCATAGCAGCAGCACGCGGGGGAGTTCCATAACTTCAATGTCAAATTTCCACTGGTGCATAATGCCCAAGTTAAATAGCTTCGCTGTCTCCTCTCACACTCACGTGACTCAGCCAATAGTGGACTGAGCTGCATGCTGCAGTGCTCTCTCAACACACACACACAACTCCGTTCCTCACCACTCACTCACTCAGCAACAGCCTGCCTCACCTGATAGTCAGCGGCAGCAGGTGAAATATAATAATTTTTTCCCCATTGGAAATAACAGGCTGTGGTCTATCTTGGGTTAGTTATGAAAATATTTGGTAGAACAGAACAGAGTTAGCTACCTAGAGCTATGACTCCAACCTGCACGCTGGCTGCTATGATTAAAGAAAACAGTGTGGTTATGACTCCAACCTGCTATGATGAAAGAAAACAGTGTGGGTATGACTCCAACCTGCTATGATGAAAGAAAACAGTGTGGTTATGACTCCAACCTGCTATGATGAAAGAAAACAGTGTGGTTATGACTCCAATCTGCACGCTGGCTACTATGACTAAAAGGTTTGTATAAAGCCAGAAGACTATGGAGAGAGAGGGTCAAACACTGTCTCTGTTGTCTACTTAATATACACAGCTATTTCTATCCACAGCCTGTGTGTGTGTGTGTGTGTGTGTGTGTGCAACCTCCCTCCAACACTCTGCATAAGGAAAGCAGCTTTGGGATGTGACACATTTGGGACACAGTCTGTATGTGGTATGGATCAGTGGGAAGCTGTCAACATTGTTTAGATTGGCTTTTAGACAAGCCTTTAGAACCAACCACAGATTGGCTTTTAGACAAGCCTTTAGAACCAATCACTCAGATTGGCCTTTAGAACCAATCACTCAGATTGGCTTTTAGACAGGCCTTTAGAACCAACCACTCAGATTGGCCTTTAGACAGGCCTTTAGAACCAACCACAGATTGGCTTTTAGACAGGCCTTTAGAACCAACCACTCAGATTGGCTTTTACATTATTTAGCAGACGATCTTATCCAGAGCGACTTACAGTTAGTGAATACATATTTTTTTATACTGGCCCCCCGTGGGAATCGAACCCACAACCCTGGCGTTGCAAACGCCATGCTCTATCAACTGAGCTACATCCCTGCCGGCCATTCCCTCCCCTACCCTGGACGACGCTGGGCCAATTGTGCGCCGCCCATGAGTCTCCCGGTCGCAGCCGGCGGCGACAGAGCCTGGATTTGAACCAGGATCTCTAGTGGCACAGTTAGCACTGCGATGCAGTGCCTTAGACCACTGCGCCACTCAGGATTTTAGACAGGCCTTTAGAACAAACCACTCAGATTGGCTTTTAGATAGGCCTTTAGAACCAACCACTCACCAGAGCTTTCTGTGGATTTGCTGCATGGCAATAGGGTTTGCTGAAAGTTGAACATACAGTATTCCCATAGACCAGGTATACAGTTGATGCGTGCCAGGATCGGAAATGTAGTTGAAATTGTTTTGAACATGGCATCAATAAATAGTTCATCTTTGCTTTGTTTTGTTGGCTATGATAATTAGTTACACAGCTATTACGTGTTTATTTATTTGTCTGATTCCCATTTGCTTGTGATGTTGCGTTAATAGATCTTGGATCAGGTTTGTCTTTTGGATCACAATTAAAACGATAACATGGACAAAGGGGACCTGATCCTAGATCAGCACTAATAGATACATAATAATAATATAATAATAGATACAATAGGCCCCTGGGCGCCAATAATGATTAACTGGTAATTAATTAATTTCTTTCTAACCCCTTCAGAGGTTTTAGAGCTCTGACAAGACAGCATAAGCTTCAGCAATGAGGTTTTAAGACCGTAAAGCTTTAGTGATTTGTTCAGTTCTTTTCTGATCTGCTCTGCGATACTCCGAAGCTGCGTCACAAATGACACCCTATTCCCCATATGGGCCCTGGTCAAAAGTAGTGCACTATATAGGAAATAGGGTGGCATTTGGGATACCACCTCTTTCATGGTCCCCTCTGTGATCTATGGCCTACTTAATATTCATGACTTCCCCCTTCACACCCTGCTGTGATTGGCCTGCTGCTCATCCATATGCAACAGGTTAGGAAGAGCAGAGTGGAGTTACTAGTTTAAAACGTTTCATCCTATCTCTCTCTCTCTCTCTCTCTCTAAATGTGATGGATGGCATGGGGTCTATAGGGCAGAGATAGATGGGTATCCAATATACTTTAATTACAAATCAAATTATCATGGAAAATGTTTTGTAAAAATGTGAAAAACCTCTTATGATGAAGATTACGTGTAAATGAATTGATCATCACCAACGGATTTATTTTTTACTCCATCTACTAGTTAAAATATACTGTACATGTAGCCAGGGGAGGGTTGTGGGATGTTTTATGTCATGTTTTTCCATACCCTGGGAGTATTTTTTCTCCCCTCCTGCAGAATCTCCTACTGTACGGCAGATAAAACACAGGACAAGGTGTTTGCCTACGTTTCCCAGATTCAGTTCAACGAGACGCTCGAGTGCCACGCCTTCCTCTGTCACAAGAAGAAGATCGTAAGTGACAAGTGGGGCACTAGTTCAAAACACTTTTCACTTTCCATCACTGTTGATAAGATTTGATAATGATCCCAGACACATTTTTTATTTTTTTTTGCAGACGCTCTTATCCAGAGCGACTTACAGTTTTTAGTGAGTGCATACATTATTATTTTAAAAAATCATACCCCCCGTGGGAATCGAACCCACAACCCTGGTGTTGCAAACACCATGCTCTACCAACTGAGCTACATCCCTGCCGGCCATTCCCTCCCCTACCCTGGACGACGCTGGGCCAATTGTGCGCCGCCCCATGGGTCTCCCGGTCACGGCCGGCTACGACAGAGCCTGGATTCGAACCAGGATCTCTATACACATGGCTGAATATCAGAATTAAACACCGATGAAGTAAAATGTTAATTTCTATTGCTTTTATAAGGCACCAGGGAAACATTACACGAGAAGTTACCAATTATTAAAATAGTGTTTCCAATGCAGAACAATATGTAACTCTGTGTTGTTGTTGTTTTTAATCGCACTGCTTTGCTTTATCTTGGCCAGGTCGCAGTTGTAAATGAGAACTTGTTCTCAACTGGCTTACCTGGTTAAATAAAGGTGAAATAAAATACAAAATAAAAACCTTGTGTTATACTCTGTGGTTTCCGTGGTTTCCAGGCTCAGGCTGTGACTCTAACGGTCGCCCAGGCCTTCACAGTAGCGCTGGACCTGTGGGAGATCGTTTAGGAAGGTCAGTATTAGGGTGAATGTCAGTACGTTCTCCACCTGAAACGTTGGCACAAAAAATAAACGGATACTTTCCAAGCTTGTTTTCTTTGAACTACAATTTTCTGAGGTCTGACAGTTTTTTTCTTCTCCTTTCAGACAAAAGTCAGAAGGCCAGGAAGTGCTGCTCGTCTTCTGTCAGAGATGGACAGACAGAGACTACAAACACACACAGTGTCTCAGGTAGGTCAACTTAATTTGTAGTACTCTTCCTGTAATGATCTTGACATCTATTGGTCTATAAACCTTTGCTGCTCAACCCCAGTACTGCAGGGCTCCAGACCTTCAGACGCCCACAAGTAGTTAAGTTATTTAAGCTCCTCCTCTCTCCTCCGCACCTTCAGGGACCTGGCCTGATCAGTGCTCTCTCGCTCTCTCGCTCTCTGCGTCGATAGATAGTCGCCGTGGCTAGTACGATTTAAGAGAGAGGCGGCGAGCGGACTCTCTGAGCGAGGGAGAGAGGACGCGAGGGAGAGAGAGAGGAGAGAGCGAGAGTCGAGCGAGAAGAGCTCTAGAGGAGGGCGCAGCTCGGATCTCTCTCTCTCTCTCTCTCTCTCTCTCTCTCTCTACTCTCTCTCTCATTCTCTCTCTTCGTCCCTTCTCGACCTACTCTCTCCTCTCTCTCTCTCTCTCATCTCTCTCTCTCTCAATTTCAATTTCAATGTAAGGGCTTTATTGGCATGGGAAATTGTGTTAACATTGCCAAAGCAAGTGAAGAAGTGAAGCTAGATAGTAAAACCAAAAGTGAAATAAACAATAACTATTACAGTAAACATTACACTCTGAAGTTTCAAAAGAATAAAGAACATTTCAAATGTCATTCTTATGTCTATATACAGTGTTGTAACAATGTGCAAATAGTTAAAGTACAAATGGGAAAATAAATAAACATAAATATGGGTTGTATTTACAATGGTGTTTGTTCTTCACTGGTTGCCCTTTTCTTGTGGCAACAGGTTCACAAATCTTGCTGGCTGTGATGGCACCACTGTGGTTTTTTCACCCAGTAGATCGAAGGGAGAGTTTATCAAAATTGGGTTTGTTTTACAAATTCTTGTGGATCGCTGTAAATCTGAAGGAAAATATATGTCTCTAATATGGTCATCACATTTGGCAGGAGGTTAGGAAGTGCAGCTCGGTTTCCACCTCATTTTGTGGGCAGTGTGCACATAGCCTGTCTTCTCTTGAGAGCCAGGTCTGCCTACGGCGGGGCCTTTCTTCAATAGCAAGGCTATGCTCACTGAGTCTGTACATAGTCAAAGCTTTTCCTTAAGTTTGGGTCAGTCACAGTGGTCAGCTATTCTGCCCACTGTGTACTCTCTGTTTAGGGCCAAATAGCATTCTAGTTTGCTCTGTTTTTTTGTAAATTCTTTCAAATGTGTCAAGTAATTATCTTTTTGTTTTTTGATGATTGGTTGGGTTAATTGTGTTGTTGTTGTTGTTGTTGTTGTCCTGGGGCTGTGTGGGGTCTGTTTGTGTTTATAAAACAGAGCCCAGGGACCAGCTTGCTTAGGGGACTCTTCTCCAGGTTGGAATTCTCTGTAGGTGATGGCTTTGTTACGGAAGGTTTGGGAATCACTTCCTTTAGGGGGTTGTAGAATTTAACGGCTCTTTTCTGTATTTTGATAATTAGGGGGGGTATCGGCCCTAATTCTGCTCTGATGCATTATTTGGTGTTTTACGTTGTAAAAGAGGATATGGTTGCAGAATTTTTTGAGCTCAGCGAAGAGAGAGGAGCGAGAAGAGGAGAGCAGGAAGCGAGAGAGAGAGAGAGAAGACGAGAGAGAGATGAGAGAAAAAACGAGAGAGACGGATAACTATAAGACGAGAGAAACAAGCCGAAGAGAACAATAGCTAGACCATCCTTCCCTCTAGCTCTCTCGTATCTCTCGCCCCTCTCTAGTCTCTCTCCCTCACCCTCTCTCCTCTCTCGATCGCTCTCTTCTCACCTCATCTATCTCTCTCTCTCGCTCTCTCTCTCTCTCTCTCTCTCCCCTCTCTCTCTCTCTCTCTCTCTCCTCTCTCTACTTTTCCTCTCTCTCTCTCTCTCTCTCTCTCTCCTCTCTTCCTTCTTCCCTCTCTTCTCCCCCGTCTCGACTCGCCCACCTCTGAAAAAATGACGCCATCTTCTCCTTCCTTCACTTTCCCTCTCTCTCTGTACAAATCAGAGGAAGCAAACAAACCGCCCGGGAAGCAGACCTGAGACGGCCTTTCATGTATAGCCATCAATAAACAAAAACCCTAAACGACCAACAAAATCGTCTCCTGGGTAAGTTGGACTGTTCAAGGCATTGTTGATGAGAAGGATCATTATCATAATTGAACCCCCTCAACAATAGTATACCTCATGGATTGAGATTTGGGACTGCAAGTATAGTTGATGAAGGATGTAGTGGCAATGGAATGAACCCCATAGAAAGGATGGACCTCCAGTGTAGTTGAGATGGAAGACCTCCAGTGAGTAGTATGGAAGCCTCCAGTGTAGTTGAGATGGAAGACCTCCAGTGTAGTTGAGATGGAAGACCTCAGTGTAGTTGAGATGGAGACCTCCAGTGTAGTGAGATGGAAGACCTCCAGTGTAGTTGAGATGGAAGACCTCCAGTGTAGTGGATGGAAGACCTCCAGTGTAGTGAGATGGAAGACTCCAGGTAGTTGACATGGAAGACCTCCAGTGTAGTTGAGATGGAAGACCCCCAGTGTAGTTGAGATGGAAGACCCCCAGTGTAGTTGACATGGAAGACCTCCAGTGTAGTTGAGATGGAAGACCTCCAGTGGTAGTTGAGATGGAAGACCTCCAGTGTAGTTGACATGGAAGACCTCCAGTGTAGTTGAGATGGAAGACTCCAGTGTAGTTGAGATGGAAGACCTCCAGTGTAGTTGAGATGGAAGACCTCCAGTGTAGTTGAGATGGAAGACCTCCAGTGTAGTTGAGATGGAAGACCTCCAGTGTAGTTGAGATGGAAGACCTCCAGTGTAGTTGACATGGAAGACCTCCAGTGTAGTTGAGATGGAAGACCTCCAGTGTAGTTGAGATGGAAGACCTCCAGTGTAGTTGAGATGGAAGACCTCCAGTGTAGTTGAGATGGAAGACCTCCAGTGTAGTTGAGATGGATATCCTCCTCTGCTGCTATAGGCTTTAAATCATTGTTGAAACTACGGAGCAATGCTCTTTTTCTTACATGCTGTAGTGCAAGGGGATCTTTTTTAAATCTTCATATACCATAACATTGTTAAGGGGTAGAGGGCGCCCATAAGTACTAGTTTACGCTTCACAAATCCTAAACATCACGTTATGATATTGTACCCTGTAAGGTGCATATTCTACTTCATTGGTGGGCAACCCTTGCTGGTGTGCCGCAGGTACCGCAGGATTTTGTCCCAACTAGGCACCACACCTGACCAACTGAGCTAATTGATCCGTTCAGTGATTGGCTAAATTCAACACACCTGGCCTTCCATGTTGGTTAAATGATAAACATGAAGTGCCTGCAGCACTCCAGGACCAGGTTTACCAACCCCTTACTCCAAACACAAGAGCAGTTACCATTATGCAGCTGTGTTGGCGTATACTCACCACTAGATGGCAGCCTTTCCCTGTGAATGCTACCATAGACCAAGTCCTGCCTGCTCTAATGGGTTAAATACTCCACCTCATCTGATGCACGTCTTCTTTTTCTCTACTGATTGGAATCTTGGTAAATCCATAAAAAATATGCACAATTTGTCAGCTGCCACAAACCAGTAGAATATTATTGACAAACAAATATTGATGTTAAATATTGATATACAGATATAAATTGAAAACTGTCTGAGCTGGGATACATCTATGCAGCGCTTGGTAAAAAAAGCATCACTTCAGTATATAACTGAAGCTATATCGAAGGTAATGACAAATTGTTGCTGATACACTGAGGAGGTGTACGCAATAGATACTGGTTTCTACAGTAGTGTAGGTTATATCGCCTGCACATTGATGCATACTGCAGTACAGTCTCTTGGTACTGTTTCTATTCACAGGAAGTGGAGGATGACCTCGATGATGCATTCTCAAGGTAATCTTTACATTGTGTTTTACATTCTATTGTATCTAAAGGTCTGTATATCTCATTTCTATACTCAAGGTCCCATCTATCCACTAATACAATTAGAATTATATAATTACTAATACCAGTAATCTGTTCAATAGCGAAACATCTTTTTAGAAATTAATACATTCCCAAATGTATCAGTACTTAGATAAAGGTAATTTAATATCACCCTTTCGATCTGGCTTTAGCCACAACCAGTCTACCACAACAGCATTAGTGAAACTTACTGATGATATAAATCCTTCGTCTGACCAAGGCAAACTAACTGCTGCCATCGTAATTTAGTTATCAAAAGCATTTAATTTAATTGATCATTCTATCTTAGCAGGAAAACTTCAAAACATTGGTTTTGCTAACAGATTCCTAAACCGGTTCCATGCATCTTAGCATAGAAAACAATGTGTTCACAGAAAACGCAACTTCTTGGACTTAGTAGAGGTGTTCCTCAAGGCTCAGTATTGACCCCCCTTCTTTTCTCTGTATTCATAAATTAATTGCCTATAATATATATGTATATATATGTATTATATATATATATATATATATATATATATATATAATCAGAATACACCTGTTCACTTATACACAGATGATACAGTGCTCTATACATCAGGTTCAAATATTTTGCAGATACAAGCAACTCTCCAAGATGATTTTAACACTTTACAAAAATGGTTTCAGGTAAATAATTTGGTTTTAAATCAAACAGAGTCCTATATCCTGCTGTTTGGTACACGGCAAAGAATAAACTCCACAGCTGGAAATGTGTAAATTCATGCAAGTGATGGAACAATGCTTGAAAGCATTGATTGTTTGAAGTACCTGGGTCTGAATTCTCTTTCGGAAGGTGTATTGATACAGCGAGCTCCAACAGTTGAATTCTCTTTCGGAAGGCATATTGATACAGCGACCTCCAACAGTTGAATTCTCTTTCGGAAGGCGTATTGATACAGCGACCTCCAACAGTTGAATTCTCTTTCGGAAGGCATATTGATACAGCGACCTCCAACAGTTGAATTCTCTTTCGGAAGGCGTATTGATACAGCGAGCTCCAACAGTTGAATTCTCTTTCGGAAGGCGTATCGATACAGCGAGCTCCAACAGTTGAATTCTCTTTCGGAAGGCGTATCGATACAGCGAGCTCCAACAGTTGAATTCTCTTTCGGAAGGCGTATCGATACAGCGAGCTCCAACAGTTGAATTCTCTTTCGGAAGGCGTATCGATACAGCGAGCTCCAACAGTTGAATTCTCTTTCGGAAGGCGTATTGATACAGCGAGCTCCAACAGTTGAATTCTCTTTCGGAAGGCATATTGATACAGCGAGCTCCAACAGTTGAATTCTCTTTCGGAAGGCGTATCGATACAGCGAGCTCCAACAGTTGAATTCTCTTTCGGAAGGCGTATTGATACAGCGAGCTCCAACAGTTGAATTCTCTTTCGGAAGGCATATTGATACAGCGAGCTCCAACAGTTGAATTCTCTTTCGGAAGGCATATGATACAGCGAGCTCCAACAGTTGAATTCTCTTTCGGAAGGCATATTGATACAGCGAGCTCCAACAGTTGAATTCTCTTTCGGAAGGCATATTGATACAGCGAGCTCCAACAGTTGAATTCTCTTTCAGAAGGCATATTGATACAGCGAGCTCCAACAGTTGAATTCTCTTTCGGAAGGCGTATCGATACAGCGAGCTCCAACAGTTGAATTCTCTTTCGGAAGGCGTATCGATTACAGCGAGCTCCAACAGTTGAATTCTCTTTCGGAGAAGGGTATCGATTTACAGCGAGCTCCAACAGTTGAATTCTCTTTCGGGAGGCGTATCGATACAGCGAGCTCCAACAGTTGAATTCTCTTTCAGAAGGCATATTGATACAGCGAGCTCCAACAGTTGAATTCTCTTTCGGAAGGCATATTGATACAGCGAGCTCCACACAGTTGAATTCTCTTTCGGAAGGCATATTGATACAGCGAGCTCCAACAGTTGAATTCTCTTTCGGAAGGCGTATCGATACAGCGAGCTCCAACAGTTGAATTCTCTTTCAGAAGGCATATTGATACAGCGAGCTCCAACAGTTGAATTCTCTTTCGGAAGGCGTATCGATACAGCGAGCTCCAACAGTTGAATTCTCTTTCGGAAGGCATATTGATACAGCGAGCTCCAACAGTTGAATTCTCTTTCGGAAGGCATATTGATACAGCGAGCTCCAACAGTTGAATTCTCTTTCGGAAGGCATATTGATACAGCAGCTCAACAGTTGAATTCTCTTTCGGAAGGCGTATCGATACAGCGAGCTCCAAAGGTTTTTGAATTTCTTCGGAAGGGCATCTTGAACAGCGAGCCTACAACAGTTGAATTCTCTTTCGGGAAAAGGGTTATCGATACAGCGAGCTCCAACAGGGGAATTCTCTCGGAAGGCATATCGATACAGGAGCTCCAACATTGAATTCTCTTGCGGAAGGCGATCGATACAGCGAGCGCTCAACAGGAATCTCTTCGGAAGGCATCTGATTACAGCGAGCTCCAAAAAGTTGAATTCTCTTTCGGAAGGCGTTACGATTAAAGCGAGCTCCAAACAGTTTGAATTCCTCTTTCGGAAGCAATATTGATTACACGAGCTCCAACAGTTTAATTCTCTTCGAAGGCGAGCGTATCGATACAGCGAAGCTCCAACAGTTTGAATTCTCTTTCGGAAGGCATACGATACAGCGAGCTCCAAAGTTGAATTCTCTTTCGGAAGGCATTGATACAGCGAGATCCAACAGTTGAATTTCTTTCGGAAGGCTATTGATACGCGCGCTCCAACAGTTGAAATTCCTTCGGAAGGCGTATTGATACAGCGAGCTCAACAGTAATGAATTCTCTTTCGGAAGGGAATATCGATACAGCGAGCTCCAACAGTTGAATCTCTTCGGAAGGCATAATTGAACAGCGGCTCCACCAGTTGAATTCTCTTTCGGAAGGCATATCGATACAGTGAGCTCCAACAGTATTGGGACAGTGCCAATTTTGTTGTTGTTTTGGCATTTGCTGTGTTTTTTGGGGGACACTCTTGAAAACTAGATGGTGCATCTTTCCGTCTTGCAAAATGTCAAATAAATAAATAATATCCACTAGTAGTTTAATAAAGTAACCTTTAGGCAAAGTAGAGTAAAGGCAAAATGAATGTTTTGGTGTAGGAAACTGAGATCAGTTGTATATGCATTCAAATAAAATCCCTGATAAGAAAATAACAAGCTATTTAAAAAAGCTATTTACAAGTCCAGGATATATTTGCTCTGTCCCTCTCTAGTCAGTCAGGCTCTGTCCCTCTCTAGTCAGGCTCTGTCCCTCTCTAGTCAGTCAGCTCTGTCCCTCTATAGTCAGTCAAGGCTATGTCCCTCATATCAGCGCTCTGTCCCTCATCTAGCAGTCAGGCTCTGTCCCTCTCTAGTCAGTCAGGCTCTGTCCCTCTCTAGTCAGTCAGGCTCTGTCCCTCTCTAGTCAGTCAGGCTCTGTCCCTCTCTAGTCAGTCAGGCTCTGTCCCTCTCTAGTCAGGCTCTGTCCCTCTCTAGTCAGTCAGGCTCTGTCCCTCTCTAGTCAGTCAGGCTCTGTCCCTCTCTAGTCAGTCAGCTTGTCCCTTATAGCAGGCTCTGTCCCTCTCTAGTCAGGCTCTGTCCCTCTCTAGTCAGTCAGGCTCTGTCCCTCTCTAGTCAGTCAGGCTCTGTCCCTCTCTAGTCAGTCAGGCTCTGTCCCTCTCTAGTCAGTCAGGCTCTGTCCCTCTCTAGTCAGGCTCTGTCCCTCTCTAGTCAGTCAGGCTCTGTCCCTCTCTAGTCAGTCAGGCTCTGTCCCTCTCTAGTCAGGCTCTGTCCCTCTCAGTAAGTCAGGCTCTGTCATCTATAGTCAGGCTCGTCCCTCTCTAGTCGAGGCAGTCAGGCTTGTCCCTCTCTAGTCAGTTTCAGGCTGATGTTCCCTTTAGTCACGTCAGGCTCTGTCCCTCTCTCGTCAGTCAGGCTCTGTCCCTCTCTAGTCAGTCAGGCTCTGTCCCTCTCTAGTCAGTCAGCTCTGTCCCTCTCTAGTCAGGCTCTGTCCCTCTCTCTAGTCATTCAGGCTCTGTCCTCTATAGTCAGTCAGGCTCTGTCCCTCTCAGTCAGTCATGCTCGTCACCTTCTAGTCGTCAGGACTCTGTACCTCTCTAGTCAGTCAGGCTCTGTCCCTCTATAGCAGTCAGGCTCTGTCCCTATCTAGTAAGCTCCTTGGCCATCTCTAGTCAGTCAGGCTCTGTCACTCTCTAGTCAGTTCAGGGCTTAGTCCCTCTCTAGTTCAGTCAGGCTCTGTCCCTCTCTTAGTCAGATCTGTCCCTCTCTAGCAGTTCAAGGCTCTGTCCATCTTCTAGTCAGTCAGGCTCTGGCCATCTAGAGTCATGGCTACGCCCCCTTAGTCAGGGCTACTGTCCACCTCTCTAGTCAGTCAGGCTAGTCCCTCGTAGTCAGTCAGGCTCTGTCCTATTAGTCAGTCAGGCTCTGTTCCCTCTCTAGTCAGGCGGCTTGTACTCTCTAGCAGCAGGCTCTGGCCCTCTTAGCAGGGCTCTGGTCCCTCTCTAGTCAGCTGTCGCCTCTCTAGTCCAGTCAGGCTCTGTCCCTCTCTAGTCAGTCAGGCCTCTGTCCCTGCCTAGTCAGTCAGGCTCTGTACTCTCTAGTCAGCCAGGCTCGGCCCCCTCTCTAGTCCAGTCAGGCTCTGTCCTTCTAGTCAGGCTCTGTCCCTCTCTAGTCAGTTCAGGCTCTGCCCTTCTCTAGTCAGGCTCTGTCCTCTCTAGTCAGTCAGGCTCGGTCCCTCCTCTTTAGTCAGTTCAGGCGATGTCCCTATCCGAGTCAGGCATGTCCCTCTATAGTCAGTCACGGCTCTGTCCCTCTCTAGTCAGTCAGGCTCTGTCCCTCTCTAGTCAGGCTCTGTCCCTCTCTAGTCAGTCAGGCTCTGTCCCTCT